TTTTTTTTTTTTTTAATTTGTTTAAAGTCGCATAAACTACTAAGGTCATGAGCGACTACGGTAGGGGGTACACTTTTGAGATTGGAACTCGTTTGTATTTCTTGGGCTGAGCAGAATAATATACACTTAAATATTGAAAATATTCATTGGTGTACGCCGGATTCGAACCCGGTCTAATGCTTTGGTAGTAAGGGCCGGATCCGATAGGCTACTGCGCGCCTTGAAAAACTTTTATTTTTACTAAGCTATCAAAAATTCAATGTAAAAATTTTTTATGAAATTAGATATTTTATATAAAAATATTAGATTTCGCTATTTTATTCTCTTTTATAATTGTTATCGTTAATAGTCTGAAAAATGATTACATTTCCCACTATTCTCAAGCGATTTGATACCTATTAGTAAGTTATTGAGCTCTTTAATCTTTAAAATATCAATAATTCCCCAATTATAAAAAAAAACTAAATTTTTTTTTGCGAAAAATTAAGAAGATAATAAGGAAGAGTGTGGTTTTTATCATAGCTTCTATAACCAAACTTAAAATTTTAAAAGTCAACTTCTTTCCAAAGTTCATTTTGCATGGAAATATGTCAATGACATCATAGAAAGCAGAATTAAGTTTACTGAGTACTTAAATATTCTGCTAAACACATCTAATGATAAGCTGTTCATTTTTATACAAAGTTATTTGCTTTTTTCGACATAAATTTATTACAAGAAAATGAGAAGAATTTATTTCTTCTTTAAGAAAAAGAAATATTTAATAATTTTTCATTCTCCATTGATTGAAAAATGATTTAGAAAGAATCAGGTCAATTCATTGAGTCTTCTGTGAAATATCATGTTTTTATTTAAGCTTCAGTTAACTGATATCAACAACAAGATTATTGGACTTTTTTCACATGATAGTAAGCACAATACTTTAAAAATAAAATTTTTTTGTTAATATTTAAGAAATTCAATATGATAAATATTCTTTCTGGGATTACATGTCAATGCAGTACTCAACCGGTAGAGATTTAAGATTTGAATACTATATGTGTATTTTGCGTATTAAAACGTGAAAAATAATTTTAAAAAATAAGGATAATAAAAAACTGTACTGGTATATTAAAAAAAGATTTTACGAGTAATGTAATATAAATTTAATCATGGAATATGAAGAAATAACAAAAATTTATGGAATTCTGCCCAACAATAGAGATGCCAGTCATCGAAAGACCTTTGACGTATTTTATTATGTAAGCAGGAAAAATTCTACGGTGATATTACTTCAATAAAGTATCTTGGGTATTAAACTTGCATATAAAATGTGTAAGCATGCAAGTATAAAGCATATTTGTTGTCAAACGAACCGATTATTTTCAATTTAAGCATCAACATTCGATTTATAAATTTTATCATAAAAAATTGGTTCAATTGATTTTTTTTCAATTCCTAATAATACGTGTTAGAGTTACAAAAAACAACTCCATCTATATTTGTGTAAATTATAAAAATATTAGTTCTTCATTATTTTTATGTCATCTATACTGTTACAATTATCCAGAATATAAAATTTTTCTTGTTTTATCAGAAACGCTCTGATAAGAAAAATTATAAAAACTATAGATCGTGTACATAGATGAACGATATTAAATTCAAGAGAGAACATTTTTTTTTTATATTATAAAATATATATTCAACAAAACAGATATATCAATGATATCATTAAATCTTTTCAATTCGTCGCCGCTTTCCACGTATAAATCTACTTATTATATTTTTTCACAGCTTGACCTATTAATGTTTTTTTTTCTCTGGAAATAATTTACTTTTGTAAAAAATTTGTTATAATTATTATTTTTAAAAAATTAATATTCTTTCTTCTTTTTAATTTTCGATATTAATTTAATAAAAACCAATAATAAGTGTTGAAGATTTTATGTTCTATCAATTAATTTTTATATAAAAGAGCCAATTTTCTCCATTTTTATCCGACCTTTGAAAGGAATCGAAGATTCGATTAAAAAAAATGATTCCTCAAAGAAAAACTTGACAAGAGATTTTTTTTTCAAAGTTATATGAATGCAATGAAATATACTTTTTAGATACTTATAAAAATTTAGAACTTTGAAGATAATATTACATAATATATTATCATTATTGGTCAGTGATGAGATGAATGCGATAAATTATCTACTCAATATCATATCTCACTACAAAGATACTTCAATCGATTAAGTTGTTTAAGCTTTGAAGGTTCCAATAGTTTCACAAACCAATAGACATGTATACAATAATAATATCGTCGGATATTGCTTAGTACAAGCAATAAAATAATCTAATCTTTAAAATTGAATCAATGATCTATTACTTGATAATTCGCTTGTTTGAAATGATAAGTATTCTGCAAAAATTATTTGCTGCGGTAAAATAGCGGATATTTATTGATTAATTTTAAAGAGTAAGAATATAATCATTTTATATTGTTCATTAATAATAATACTTAATAGTATTATTTGCCGTAAGAAGTTTATTGGCTCTGGAACTGTCTTTGCAGTCATGCATTGTTAAAAA